GGGGGGGGGGGGTGGGGGGACGGACAATTTGTCCTTGTGGACATTCTGACTCGTGGTCATTGGATTGGACAAAAGGTAGTGAGGGTGTTGGTGTGGGGGGGGGGGTGAGGTGGTATACATAAACCTACGTTTAAGATCCGTTCTCTTTTGTGGGTACGTAACATATATTGATGTTGTGGGTACCGTAACATATATTGATGTTGTGGGTACCGTAACATATATTGATGTTGTGGGTATCGTAACATATATTGATGTTGTGGGTACCGTAACATATATTGATGTTGTGGGTACCGTAACATATATTGATGTTGTGGGTACCGTAACATATATTGATGTTGTGGGTACCGTAACATATATTGATGTTGTGGGTATCGTAATATATATTGATGTTGTGGGTACCGTAACATATATTGATGTTGTGGGTACCGTAACATATATTGATGTTGTGGGTACCGTAACATATATTGATGTTGTGGGTACCGTAACATATATTGTTGTGGGTACCGTAACATATATTGTTGTTGTGGGTACCGTAACATATATTGATGTTGTGGGTACCGTAACATATATTGTTGTTGTGGGCTGCTAAACATACACTGATGTAAGTTTAATAGAATTATGATTGTTAAATATAATGTAAAACAATTAAAATGATAAATGGAATGTCTCCATGATGTCTAACAAAATGTCCAGCCCTTACATCCGCCGGGTAAGGTTGGTGGGGGTTTTGGGGGGGGGGGTGCGAAATTTACGTCATGATCCTCAAATCCGCCTGTAAAACTTTAGTCACATCACTGGTTTATGCTACAATGAAAATCATTTTGTCTTGCTCTGCTTATGTATAGGATGTTTTCAATATTCTATTTGTCATTTATGGTCAGATATTAGAAATGATATTATATCATCTAGACCCGTCCTGTTGCGACATCAGATTTCTTGACCTCAAAGTACATCAAATATTATATCAGCCTAGACCCGTCGTGTTATGACATCAGATTTCTTGACCTAGGAGTGTACATCAGATATTATATCATCTGGAGACGTCCGGTTGTGACCTAAGATGTGTTGACCTAGGAATGTACATCAGATATTATGTCAGCTAGACCCGTCATGTTGTAACATCAGATTTGTTGACGTAGGAATGTACACCAGAAATGATATCATCTAGAGCCGTCCGGTTGTGACCTAAGATTTTTTGACCTAGGAATATTACATCAGATATTATGTCAGCTAGACACGTCGTGTATGACAGATTTACGTGCAACGTGGACTCCCAATAGAATAAGATACAAATTCTTTCTTTTTTTTGTTTGCTTTTTTGTTTGTTTGTTGAGTGTTTTGTGACGTCAAAGCTTGTACTTGTAATATCAGACTCCCAAGTCCAAGTTGACAACGTCCGGTCTAGTCAGTGGTGGTTCCCCCCCCCCCCAACCCTTTTGAAGTACAGTCGATTTTTTTTATCACGGGGAGATAATCCTCTCAGAGGAAAGGGGTCATGCTAGGTAATCGGCCTTTAATTTCTTTTTGTTTTCTTACTGCTGATGTCACGGTTATAATGTAACCCCAATCTCTTGATGTTCAGGATTACAGAGGGGGGAGAAAAAATGTGTCTTCCCCGGGGATTTCTGTAAGATAGATGAGGCGGTAGGTTATCGAACTTCGCTGCT